GTCAGCATGCCACACATATTCTATTTAAAAGGCATATTGAAAAAGAATAGGACACAGTACTAGTAAACACATACAGTTGGGCACAGATGACATGAACATGGACAACTCAAAAATCACCGCGCCGATAGATAGTACAATTTTTCATTCCTCAGCTAAACCTCTTTAATCTTTGGTCATCTGTGTCGGTTAACCCAAATTAAGGATATGTCAACACATCAGTCAGTCCCATATGTGTCCGATTTATCAGAGCCAGATTTTACTATTATAAAATAAAAAAGTAAACTTTTAAATATCTATATGGGGAGTCTGGTAGTTTATATAGACTATACTACTACTTGATTTAAAGGTTAAATGTATGAAAAAGTTTGGGGGAATGCAAAAATCTGGGGAACACAGCCTTGGGAAGAGTTGGTGGCATCTATTAACTGTCCCATGAAGCATGGTTAGCATAACTCTTTTTTCCGAGGGGGGGCTCACCATTGACATGAAATCTAAAAGTGACGCACATGTCACTAAATTGGTTATTAAATAAAAACAAATAAACATATTTACACGGTTCTTCATCTAATAGAATAATTCCCGGGAAAAAAAGACTGCTATTGCTGAAAAATAGTTTGACGTCGGAGTCGTAATAAAGGAACGTGCCTAAGTTGCTGCCAGGGGCTCACCACACAGCAGATGCAACCGCAAGCAGCTGGGAGTGGCTTGCCGGAGATAAGGAGTAGACACTGCGTTTGGCTATGGTGAGAATGAAATTAATCCAAAACTCCATTGGATGTTCTTAAATTATATATATTGGGAGGAAAGTATTCAAGGATCTCAGCTGTGGCTGGTTGGACGGTGCTCTGGTGTGGTATGTACCTTCTTTCCTATCAAACATCTAATATCATTATCTCTCCTTCTTTTTTTGTTAAGTTACTCTCTAGCAACTTCTCTAATCTTTGGAACTTACATGACCTAACTGTGTTGCAAGTGCTGTAAAACGCTTATTAAGACTAAACTAAACTAAAAGGCTCTCCATCCACTGTACTCCTTACTGCTGGAGAAGGATATTGAATTGGAAGTCCTGCCTCTCAAATAACCTCCTCGCAGTGTTGAAATGGCCTTTTAACACTTACAGTACCGTTGGCGACAGTCGCCAGGCTGTAGTTTGCGCACCAGGTACACTAAACATAATTAAACAACGAATGGACGCACTGCACTGAAGTAAATACCAAAGGAAGTCACTCTATATGATAGTTGAATGGTTGATCAACCTCTATGAATTTTAAAAGCATATTTCTTGGGCTGCCAAGGTTTTTTTTAATAAAAAAAAATTCTACCATGGCTTCAGCATTCTAAACTGGTGCGGTAGTTGAGGGTTTTTCGCTATATCAGCCTTCGGAACTCTAAGTGTTAATAAACCCATACACTTAAAATTACCTTTCCCCACGGCCGAGGATCCAAGTAGGTGTCTTGTGGCTCCGTAGAGCCTGGCATGTCAATCTCACCTACGTAGATGGAGGGTGTCGTCATTGTCCCATCAGACGAACGTGGTGCAACGCTGTGACTGAGAAAGGACAAGAAGATTCAAGCAATATTAAGTGAGGAATTATGGTGAAATCAGGCTTTCGTCACAATAATGAAATCAAAGAAAGACATTGTTTTCCACCGATTTAGAAATCTTTATAGAATTTTTTCATTTTTGGCTCAACATCTTTAATGTCCATTTAAAATCAAACTTTTGAGCACGTTTTAACTGAAAATAGAAATTTTCATTCTTCAAGGATGTGAAAGCTATGGCAGTCATTGACCCTATTGGTATGCCCTGGGGTCATTTTGTACCCCCAGGGTTGTATTCTTCACATTTTAGAATATTTCTAGTAGGTAGATCTCTTTGAAACTTTCAGTATTTCTCAAAAAATCATTTTGACAGACTGCTATGCAAAGCGTATGGATTGGATTAATGAGTAAATTTCCTCTTTGAAAGCAGTGGCACAGAGCATAAAAAAAATATTATGTGACAAAAGGGGGGGGAAAAATAGAGAGTATTATATGTGGGGTAGAAAAACCCAGTATAATGAAATATATAGAAGTATAGAGATTTTGCTGTAAATTTTTTCTGCAGGAGAGGTTAGGTTTCCTGAAAAGTTGTGACACTTTTTGCCAGAGAAAAATTTTGAAAGAGCATGAAGACATTTCTTTTTGAAAAAAATTTAAAGCTATAATAGTTTTAGTAAGAGTTTTACGACACTTGCAACACAATAAGGTCATATAAGTGCCGAAAAATAGATGTGTCAGAAGAAAAAATCACCCACAAAGCCCTCATAAAAGAAATAAAAAACAATTTAGGAATGTTTGCAAGTGTGGCTAACAAACAGTAAAAATTGTATTTAATTTATTTACAAACTGTGCCGAACAACAAAAGTTTTCATTAAAGCCTCTAAATGGAATGAGCTCTTTAACTACTTAAGAAGCATTAGAAGAGGACCAGTACCAGGCATATCATCTGGCAGATTAACCCTATGTGTATACCCTGGGGTCATTTTGTACCCTCGGGGTTGTATTCTTCACATTTTAGAATACTTCTAGTGCGATGATCTCTTTGAAACTTTCAATATTTCTCAAAAAATAATTTTGACAGACTGCTATGCAAAGCGTACGGATTGGATTAATGAGTAAATTTCCCCTTTGGAAATTGGTGGCACAGAGTTCCTCACATCGTATGGATATGATAGTAAAACATGACGTATGGAAAGGGTTAAGCTAGAATGGTGGGGATACATTGGCCACTTTCTGCCTACCAGGGACAAATACTATAAGTGGGATTCAACAGCCCAGCAAATGGGCAGAGACACTTCTTGATAAAATAGCTTCTCCAAGTAGGAATCAAACCCAAATCATATGGACAGAGATACTCTATAAAATAGATTCTTTGAGCAGGAATCAGAGTCAAACCACAAGGACAGACATACTTGATAGAGTACATTCTTTGAGTAGGAAAGAGACTCAAACCACCAGCAAGTAAAGGTAAAGAATTTGCCATACCATCAAGCTTCCTAAGAATTTTAGTTTTAGTAAGTGTTTTACGGCACTCGAAATTGCATAACGTCATATGAGCGCCAGAAGATTAGAGGTGTTACAAGGGAATAACAAACATAAAAAAAGAAGAAGGGGAGATAAGGACGATAGTTTTCTATGAAAGAAGGAGCAAACCACACCAGAGCACCCGCCAACCACCCACGCTTAGAGAGAGAGAGAGAGAGAAGAGGCGTCGGTGGCCTAGTGGTTAGGCTCTCGGACTCGCAACCGTAAGGTCGTGGGTTCGAATCCCGTCAGGGACCTGACTTTGTGTCCTTGGGAAAGGCACTTTACACAAATTTTCCTCACTTCACCCAGGTGGGAATGGGTACCCGGCTATAGACAGCGAAAGATCTTGTCAGTTTGTTAGTGTTTGAGCGCTTAATCGGCTGCTTGCACTGTATGCTTCCCGGGAAGCTGAGAATGTTTCGGAGTGTTCTATGGTCTGCTGGGGTAATAATATAGTGTAAAGTGCATAGAGCCTGCTGTTGAGCGGGGATATGCGCTATACAAATGCTATCTATTATCTATTAGATATATCAACAAACAGGATCATCACATTAACTATGTGCCTGTGGTTAGAAAGGTTTTCACTTACGTCAGTTTTCTAGGAATGTTGGTGGTCCCGTTGATGTTCTCCAGGTGCAGGGGGTACATCCACCAGTCACTCACCAGTTCTCCTCCAAGGGTTACATTCTCTACAATTCCCTGAACGGGTACAAAAAATCAAAACTGTTTTGTTAGCCACACAAAAGTTTACTAGTTTTAGTAGTAAGTGTTTTACGGCACTTGCAACACAATAAGGTCATATAAGTGCAGATGAATAGATGTGTTACAAGAGAGTAAAATACACAAAAAAGAAGGAGGAGAGATAAGGACGATAGATGTTTGATAGGAAAAAAGGAGCAAACCACACCTGAGCACCCACCAACCACCCACACACAGAAGTTTAAATTATCGAGGTGACATGATCTTGGAACTGTCCTTTAACTCTTGAATCCCCTCAGTTATGACTGAGCCTTTGTTTCTGCTATTTAGGAGTTGGAGGCAAGTTCTGGGGGTTGTAATGAGACATAGTGCATCAGGTTTAGGTGGCTGTCGATAAAAACTCCAGGAAACGGAGGAAAAAACTCAGGGTTTAAAGAGTTCAGGTTGTTTAAAACATTTTGGTTTACTCGTGTACATTAACATCCACTACAAAGTTCTGTCATTTCAAAGTTTGAAAGCAAAGTTAACACGCCCGATGACTGATTTCCCAGATTCATCAAGCCCACAACAGAAAACAGTGCAGCTGGTGGCTGTCTCAATAAAAAAAGATTGGAGGCCAACTACAGAGACTCAAAAGACCACCCAGTGAGGAAGCAGATTTACCCATGGGCAGTGACAATAGAGCTCCAGAGTCTGTAATTCAGTACTGAAATGAGTGGGCTACAAAAAAAATGCATTTAGTTTTTGTTTAGTTTTAGTTAGACTTTAAAAAAAAAGTTTTAGTAGAGGTTTTACGGCGCTCGCAACTGCATAAGGTCATATGAGCGCAAGAAGATTAGAGGTGTTACAATAGAGTAACAAACAAAAAAGAAGAAGGGGAGATAAGGACGATAGTTCATAGGAAAGAAGAAGCAAACCACTCCAGAGCACCCGCCAACCACCCACGTTTTAGTAAGAGTTTTAAGGCACTTGCAACACAAATAGTATAAGTGGTGATGATTAGAGGTGTTACTAGAGAATAATATAAAATAAAAAAAAGAAGGATGAGAGATAAGGATGACAGAAGTTTGAAAGGAAAGAAGGAGAAAACCACATCAGAGCACCTGCCACCCACCTACCCACAAAGGGGGGGCACTAGCGATCCGGGCGTTGAACGTCACAGATAAAAACGTGTTACAGTCTTTTTTTCCCCCTCGGCAACTGATCCCTATTACAATGATAAGCTAGTCTTGACGTAGATCTACATAATGAATTGTGCGCTGGTCTACGGAATCAAAAGTTGCCGTAAGCTAGGCTCTACACAGCAACACAACTTTTTGGTAAACAATCGAGATGACACAGGCGTGCATTTGAACGAATCGGGTCTTTTTTTTTTTTACACAGCTCATCATTTGCAGGCATTTCAGGCATTACTTATGATTCCTCTTTATATATTACTTGCTGAGTGCCTGTAATTATCTACACAAAACCTCATGTTTGCTATAACGAACACTCGGATTCAACGAGGTTTTAGGTCAGGCCCGGCGACCTCGTTGAATCCGAGTCCCACTCTACCAACTCAATACTTATGACTGTTTCTACAGTCTACAGCCACTCACTTTGATATTGAAGTTCATGTTGGTGGAGAAACCGATACGGCCTTGGTTCTCCACTAAAATGTCCACCGCCTGTCCTTTACTGCCTGTGATGTTCACAGACATCTGGAACTCTCTTTTCAGGATGCCAAAAGGTACCTAAAAAAGACATCGTACTGTATTTAAAGAAACATCCACGCCAAAAAGAACAAATTACTAAATCAAAGATTTTAAAAAACCCATCATTCATACATCGCCTTAGGGAAATTGAATTTCAAGTGATAAGTGTGATGGGAATAAATATATATACCAAATTATAAACAAATTCAAAGATTAGTACATATTTATAGAAACGCTGATATCAAAAGGAAGAAATTACCAAATCAAAGATGAAAAAAAACATGATTCATACATCTCCTTTGCGAAATATTCCAAAAGATAAGTGTGACAGGAATAAACATGAATGTGTAATTATAAACAACTTCAACGATTAGTACATCACAGCTGGTTGTTATAGTGTAGCACCCTTTTGCACTGGCATTGGTGATGAAGCAGAGACATTCGACATTTCGAAACCTTTGGGTATTTTTATGCCCCCATCAACACAATATATATCACTTAAAAAGCAGGCTTCCAACCCTCCTGTCAAGGCCGACCTGAGCTAGCTAGGAGGGATACGACATCCCAGCAGAAAGACTGAGATACTTGATAAAAATTCTCGCCACTTATGAACTGAACTCGGGTCTCCTGCATGCCACAGAAAAGAACCTAACAACTACACCACAGATAGCGATATACTCTACGTCACAAAAGTTTGAATGATAATGCACAACCATATTTATCAAATTTGTTAAGAATGTACATTCCAACTCGCAGTTTAAGGTCATCAGCTGAAAAAAAGAAATTTATTTTGCCATCTATGAAACTTAAAACAATGGGAGAAAGGGCATTTGAATACAAAGGCTCCAAGATCTGGAATGCTTTACCTAGTACTTTAAGAGAGATCAAACCTTTTGATTCATTAAAATGTCAGCTGAAGTCGTTTATGTTCGTAAATTAATAATAATAATTTGAATATTTGAAGCGATTTTCTTTTAGACAACGTTTTACGTTACTGAACAAATGTAGTACGTTGTACTGTATTGTGAAGCGCTCACAGCCTGTGTACTTTAATCAGGGTTGGGCGCTATATAAATATCAATTATTATTATCATTATTACAAGAACTAAAATTAGGAGATGCAGGCCTACTTACAGCATTGACCATGACCACCGCCCTGTCTCGGATTCCTCGAGTGTAGAGAATCGTAGGACTTGAGTAGTCCTTGGTCAGGATGAAGCGATACAGGATAAAGCCAAAATACTGTAGATGAAAACAAAGAAAAAGAAAGGAAATAAGATTTTTAAAAATCCTTTTAGCTGCGAGCATTTTGCTCTTGGCAGCGAAATGCCTCCGTCAAGTAACCACATGTCCTAGTCATCTGGTCAACGCCAGAGAAGAGCAGGCTTTGTAAGTTTGTAGGCGTGTGTAGGAGTCTGCGTCGAAGAACTGCCAGGTTTAGGCAGTGAAGGAGAAGATGTTCAACGGTCTCCTCGTGGTAGTCACAGTGTCTGCAATGGGGTTCCCACATGGGGTTGATCCAGTTTATGTGCTTGTTGGTGTGTAAGTGTCAGGAAATAAGATAGATAAGATAAGATGAGATGAAATAAGATAAGATAAGATCAGATCAGATAAGATAAGACTTTGTTATCCCGTGGAAAATTTTCTAAAATAAAGGGGGAATAAAAGAAATAGGCTTTGGTACCATATGGACAGCACTGTGGAAAACTCATGAAGTTTGATTTGAAAATATATATAGGCCTAATTAATAAAAAACAACAAAATGTAATGAAAAAGGCAAAGAGAGTCCATTATTCAGAGTGACCAGGGAGAAACAAGCATGGCATTGATTGCTCTGTGCCTTGAGTACCTCATTGTATAAAGAGAGAGTACTTAACCCTATCAGTACGTCGTGTTTTACTTTCGTATCCATACGATGTGGGGGACTCTGTACCACCACTTTCAAAGAGGAAACTTACTCATTAATCCAATCAGTACACTTTGCATAGAAGTCTGTCAAAATGATTTTTTGGAGAAATACTGAAAGTTTCAAAGAGATCTTCGTACTAGAAGTATTCTAAAATGTGAAGAATACAACCCCAGGGGTACAAAATGACCCCAAGGCGTACGGATAGGGTTAAGTAAATCAGAGTGACTTCCTTAGACAGTTTTTAAAAAGGTGAAATCAGCATAAAGATCCCGACATCTTAGCACTCTTCAACCCTTAACATATACGTCACAACGTGGTGGAATCAGGCGCTCGTCAATTTTAGGGTATGTGGAGTTATTGGTATCATTTGAAAACTGATTTATTTGCCTTGCTTCAAATGAAATAAATATCTATTTTATCTTCAATGGAACGACAAAGCACAGCTGATTAAAACCTGTCAATTCTTTGCCATATCGACAGACCGAAGGGCTAGAACCCAAATGGCCGCTGGATCGGAAAAGTAAAAGTAAAGTATCTTCAATGGAACTCGAGATATCTACATTTGAAGGAAGTGAGGTTGCCTGGTTTCAGTGGTGAAATAAATAAGCAAGAAAATGGACATCAAAGTTTGATAACCCCCAATAGCTAAAGAACCTTTAAAAAAATGAAAAATGACATATTTTGTGTCTTTAATCAATGTTTTTCAGTAAAATTCAAGGGGAAATGTCTTTTCACATGGACATAAAAGAGGTAAAGCCAAAATATACAAAAGTGATAAATATTTCCAAACTAGTGGAAAAATGCTTGTTTCTCCAATTTTGTTATTTTGACGAGCGCAGGTAATAAGCATTTGACAGATTTGATGCTTTTATAGAACCTATTAAGGAGGCCTATTTCAAGGATATGAAGTGAATGAAATAGTGAGGTCACTAATGGGAAAAGCTCACTCATCATAATGCAATATAAAATACAATTTCTGTGAAAACAGGAAGAGAAAAACTGTCCGCTCTCAGGCCTCAAGAAATCAGACGCGTAATGCTGAAATACAAACTGATGCAATTTATTTATCAGAACAATATGTGAGGCATTGTGGTGAAATCAGGCACTCGTCAAGATAATGAAATCGAAGAAACAGGCATTTTTCTTCCAGTGAGACAATTTTTGTTGAATTTTTGTTTACGGCTCACACGTTTGATGTCCATATAAAAATACATTTACATGTGAATTTTACTGAAAAACGTTGACAAACGGCACAAAACATGTATGTTTTCAGTTTTCAAGGACTCTCATTCTCTAGAAGTTTCAAAACTTTGGCCGCCATTTTCTCGCAAACTTTACCTCAGAAAGCAGGCTACCCTCAGTTTCTTTAATCGCAAACATCTCAAGTTCTCTTTAAGATAGATGGGTATTTTTTCACTTAAAGAAAGACAAATAAACAAGCTTTATGACTATACCAATAACTCCATATGCCCACCTGATTCCACCACGTCGTGACACATATAGCAAATACAGTGGAGCCTGCTTACATCAAAATCTGTAGGACCATTGAATTTCCTTCGGTTTACCCGGGTTTTCGGTTTAAAGACATTGCTCACATAGAGGGGAAAAAATATCAGGGATTCTTTTTTCTTTCCGTTTATCCCTGCTTTTGGTTTAACTGTGTTCGGTTTAAGCAGACTCCACTCTAAACATACCCAAGGCACTGAACAAAAATAAACAGAATAAATTGTAAAACAGACAACATATTGAAGAAGCAGTTCACTACACATGAACTGATATTGAATTACTATAACTGTTTTGAGACGAAAAGACAAAATAATTTCATTTTCTTTCCTGTTCTGGAATGAAGATAGTCATAATCAAGGCACTCCTAGAATGGACAAGAAAAGATCAAACTGACAATAATAGTAATAATAGATTGTATTTACATAGCGCTCTATCCCATACTAGCATAAGCTCTGAGCGCTTTATACACAATATTGAACAATATTACACAAATGACTCACAAATTTGATCCTCTCCATAGGTATGGGGTAAGCTGTTCGCACAGGCCCCTCAGGACACAGAACACTCAGAGCATCCTGTACTGTCGAAACCTGGACACAAAAGAACAAAAATATTTAAACTTTGTAAAAACAACAAAACAGTCTTTTGAGCCTAATATCAATTAAAGGTTCAGTCTTTAGTTTGAGTAAGAGTTTTACGGTTCTTGCAACACAATATGGTCATATGAGCGCCAGAAGATAAGAGGTGTTACAAGAGAGTAAGAAACACAAAAAAGAAGGAGGAGAGATAGAGACGATAGATTTTTTATAGGAAAGAAGGAGCAAACCACACCAGAGCACTCGTCAACCACCCATTTAAAGGTTCACAAGACTGAAAAAGGTCTGTAAAGGGAATCAAGAGCAAACAAAAATGACATCTAGTAGAGAAAACAAAGATCAGTTAGCTATATATATGACATTGGAAAAAACATGGACAAAGTTAAAGCCACAGAAAAAAGAGAGCCTACAAGCAAATGCTAAGCAGAAAGGTTTTTTAGAGGTCTATGAATAGCTCTCAGGAAGCTATGGGGCAAGGTGAGCAAGAGCCAGGGAAGGTAAATATACCATTATGTCTGCTACCATCACATAGAAAAACATAGTAATATCTAGTCAATTTAACACTACATGGCAGGCAAAATGAATATGTTACTCTGCTGTGACCAAGAGCCTCATGCAAATGAATAAATTCATTTTAGTTTGCATTGTACCACATGATGTTCCATTCACTGGCTGTACACTCGAAGAATTATAAGCCAAATTTCAGCAAGAAAAACTAATTCCGAGTTTTTTTTCATTAATTTTAGTACGAGTTTTAAGGCACTTGCAACACAATAAGGTCATATAAGTGCCAAAGAATAGAATTGTCACAAGAGAGTAACATACACAAAAAAGAAGGAGGAGAGATAAGGACGATAGATGTTTGATAGGAAAGAAGGGGCAAACCACACCTGAGCACCCGCCAACCACCCACATTCCGAGTTTTCTCTTCTTCTTTCAAAGAGAGGTCTTATCGTAACTGGTCAAAGGCTACTCACAAAGCTCATGGGGACTACGCCGTATGCTGTCTTGGTGGTATTGGCTGGAATTGGTATGTGAGGAAGAGGCAGATACTGGTGAAAGAAGAAGACGAGAGGCAAATTATGTCTCATGTTGAGGTGCTGTTCATATGAGTTTTGGTGAAATAAATAGGTTATATAAGTGCTGAAGATAAGAGGTGTTTCTAGCGTGTAACATACAAAGGGAAGAAGGGGGAGAGACAAAGATAATAGAAGTTTAGTTTTAGTAAAAGAGTTTTTTTAAAATATTTTTTTTAGTAGAGGTTTTACGGCGCTCGCAACTGCATAAG